CTAATGTATCCGGTCACATACTCAGCATAATCCTGTACGCTGACAGAAAAGTCCTCTGAGGTGGCTGCAGCTTTAAACACATCCCAGTCTGTCTGGGTGAAACAGTCCTGCAGGGTGCCTTCAGCCTCTGGGGTCCAGAGTTTAATTTGTTCATTTGAGTCCATCTATAACCTTACCCCTGACATATGCTATCTGGAGTGCCCAGATCTACCTAAGGACCATTAGGAGAGAGGAGCTGCTCTAATTGATTGATTGATTGATTGATTTATTCTTTCAAACATGCAGAACAGAACAAATGACAGCAACACACACATAATTACACATATCCAACCAATGCTAATCCAAAATCAGTTTGCTTACACCTATTACATGTTTGAATGGAGTAGGAAGAAGTCAGACTTATCCAGTCCTACCCCATAACATCATATTATACAAAAATTTCATGCATCATTGGCTGCAAGCAGTATCTCTACATAGATAAAACAGAGTGTTTCCTTAATGCCTTCTCGAATAAATCTTATTCTTGCATATATCTTGTATAACACATACATTTATATTTATATTTAAACTCCTCAATTCTAGTACTATTTTTCATGTCCACAGTTAAGTTATTCCATAGTTTGACCACACTTATAGAAATACAAAATCTTTTTTTGGTAGTACGTATAGCATGAACTTTTAAATTTAAGTGACCCCTTAAGTTATATCCCCCTTCCCGTTCACCAAATAACTTCAGGATTCCACCAGGTAATAAGTCGTTCCTGGCTTTATACATAAACACAGCAGTCTTATATTCCACTAAATCAAAGAATTTTAACAATTTAGACTGTATGAAAACTACATTTGTGTGATCCCTATACCCCATCTTGTGCACAACTCTTATCGCTCTCTTCTGTAATATGTACAATGGTTGAAGTGAACTCCTGTAAGTGTTTCCCCAGTTTTCAACGCCATACTCCAAATATGGCAAAATCAATGAAGAATACAAAATACGCAATGCTTTAACGTCCAGCATATATCTAACCCTTGCCAATATCGATATACTTTTAGCTATTTTATGCTGAACATGTCTGATATGAGATTTCCAGGATAATCGGTCGTCAACCATGACACCCAGAAATTTGATTTCATATACTCGTTCAATGTTAGCACCCCCAATTCTCAATTGAAGTTCATTATGTGGTCTACGGTTCCCAAATACCATAAATTTAGTTTTATTCAAATTCAAAGATAGTAAATTACTATCACACCATTTCTTTATCTTCACAAATTCCCCTGAAACCCTTACCGAGAGTTGCCGTAAGTTTTCATCAGATGCCCAAATGGTAGTATCATCAGCAAACAAAACCACTTTAACAATTTCAGAAACCTTACATATATCATTGATGTATAATATAAACAGTTTAGGTCCCAAAACAGAGCCCTGAGGCACTCCACATACAATATCCAGCTCACTCGATTGGTATTCACCCAACCTCACAAATTGACGCCTCTGTGTCAAATAACTTCTGATCCATTTCCAAACCATTCCTCTGATCCCATA